CTTTGAGATGGGTGGACTTCAACTCCCAGAATTCCCCATCCAGCATGATGGGCAAGGAATTCCTCATATGGGACAGCAATGTGAGGGTTTCAAAACAAGGTCTTAAGTAGCTTTTCAGGGGTCCGTCAGAGCTTCAAACAATTGCTAAGCCATGGGTCATAAGTAGAGAACTACCTATAATTGAGATGAGGAGCCATAGGAATCCCAACGGATTCATGTATCAATGAATGAATCCAGAAACAAACGAAAATTAGCCTGCCGACTTCTAACACATCCATTCAACTGACCCAATATCGCTGTTAGAAGTCACAAAAAACAGATGTCCACACTCTGGATATTTACAAAGCTCTTTTTACCGAGTTACAACAGAGAAGATGAGGAGGAGGAGGTTCTGCACAGTCTCTTAGGCCGCTTGGCTTGTGCTGGTTTGCAACGGGCCCCCTTCTCGCTGGAGAGCAGGCGACGCAGGTGAGGCGGGGAACAGCTGTGAACCGAGGGAGAAGGCTACGCCTAAAAGAACATGACCGCATACAACATGCAGGGTGAGAATGGGAGGCCCAGAACGATGCACCCAGTGATGTCATGTCCCACCTGCTAGCAAACTACGTGGAACTCGGGGGGGGGGTCTCCGCCACTGGGACAGTAGTCAAGATGGTGCTGTGCGATCGCAGCAAACTGTCTGCAGGGGTTCGATCTCAGGCGTCGCGATCACCATCCTTGTTTTAACCCTATCCTCGCGGACATCCCTGGTATTGGTGGATGCCTTGGAGCACAGAAGGGGAGTACGGGTTGATACAGTTGTGCTGGGCTTGAAGACTTGTCACACTCACACGTGCACAGAAAAACACACGCAGCTCAGAAGCCCATCGATAATCGTGTCCAACACTGAGGCACAGCCAGACCACAAAAAAAAAAAAACGGAGGTGGGAATACGGTCGGTGGACGAAATGCATAGATTGTGCCTATCCTGAGCAGGGCAAAAACGAGCAGCGTCGCGGAGAAAAAATTAGAACCGTCAACCGCGGCCCTTCTGGAGCATCACAGTGTTAAAAAGAGGCTCTAATATTGCTGGAACGAGGTGGTGTTATCCCGCCCAACATCCTGTGTAGGTTTTCACACATGCAGCACAGGAGTCCCGGGAGATGGACGCGGTATTTAAGTTCACAGGAGTCAGATGTATTCCAATGGACAGATCTGGGGATCAGCTAGTGGTTCGGTAAAATGAGAGGATGCCCAGGGAATGGGTCAGGGTACTGGGGGGGGAACCGAGACTCTCCGTTTTATTTGGGCTCAACCCACACCTCGATTCATCCCCCTTTCAAACGATTCCCAGTGTTTCCCCCCCCTCCCCAGTTTGGAAAGAGGGTAGCTTCAGACCCCCGGAAACAGTGCTCTGGTGTGGTGAGCCAGCGGCGTCCTTGTCCCGTCATTCGAGGCCACGTGCTTGGATCAGATACAATGTGGAAGCCAAGTTATGAGATTCTCTTCCTGCTCTTTTGAGGGGAGGAAGAGGGTGATGCCTGGTACAGTGCAGGCCGAGAAAGGGGTTCAAAGAGAGTAAGGGAGGATGGGCAGTGGAGGGCCTGTCCTGGCCAAAGAGACGAGCTGTGGGTGCTTCCCCCCAAAAATCTCAGGGGCCGGATTCAGGAAGTCCTCTGTGTAGTTGGGTTCGAGGGGTGGGGAGGGAGTGCTTGTTGCTTGGTTGTCACCAAGTTGGGCTATTGGGGTGGCAGGGCGGTGTGGCAAGTGTGGTTCCTCTCCACCAGGAGGCCGGGAGGGGTCTTCAGGTCAGCGATCCACTGCCGTTGGATTTCTTCACGCAGGAGTACAATAATAAGCCTGCTGCACAGAGGACAAACAGACCGAACGGCGCCATCCCTCCATTGGGGACCTGCACGACAGGAGACAATAGACTAGAATCAGTGACGCCATCTCGAACCCTGTTTTCCTGGCCCCTCCGGGTCCAGCACAGGCCACGAGGACATCGTACATGACACAAGGTCACCGGGGCCGTGATGCCAATCAGGTGCACGTATCATCCGCTCCATTCTACCTGATCCTTCGATGGAAGCATATCTTCCATCCTATAATCAGGTAGTGGGGCTGCTGGAGGTTCGCGGGGGTTTGGCAGAGCCTCCTAGCTAAGATTCTGTGCAGTTTGGAAAAAACCCCAAATCCCACTCCTGGCTGGCCCCGCCCCGGCCCTCCCAGGAGTCCCCACACGGTCCCCACATGCAGGTAAGCGCAGGGCACCCACAGAGGCTCGGCGAGGCTGAAAAACGGACCTCCGAGAAGTTCACGAAAGCCAGAAATGGGCCCGTTTCCAGCTTCCATAGAGCCTCCGGAGCCCAGAGAGGCCCATTTCACCCTCCCGGAAGCTCAAGGAAAGCCTCCAGAGCCCTGGGTGGGCGAATACACTACCCCGTCCCCGCCATGGTGCTGGAGGCTGACTAGGCCACACCCACCATGGCCACACCCACCCAGCAACCGGTCAGAGAACCCCTGGCTGAAATTTGAGACAGTCTTTGGCCACGGGATCCATCTTAGCTTTGTGAGGACCATTTGGGGGTCAAAGAGAGACAATTCTCTTTAGGGCTCACTTGAAGCTTTCTTAATTTCAACACCAACAGTTTAAGGCCGGGGGCTTATCCTCCCATTAAGTAGAAGCAGTCCTCGAGTTACGGCCACAATTGAGCCCAAACTCCCTGTTGCCAAGGGAGACAGTTGGTTCACTGAAGTTGGCCCCATTTTATGACCTTTCTTGCCACAATTGTTAAGGAAATCACGGATGTTGTTAAATGAGTAATGCAGCTGTTAAGTGAACCTGGATTCCCCCCCGCCCCCGGACTTCGCTCATCAGAAGGTCGAAAAGGGGATGACGCGATCCTGGGACACTGCCAGTTAAAACACAGGCCAGTTGCTAAGCGGCCGAATTTTGATCACATGACCACGGGGACGCTGCAGTTGTCACCCATGTGAGAAACCGTCACAAGTTAGAATAGAATAGAATAGAATAGAATAGAATAGAATAGAATAGAATAGAATAGAATAGAATAATAAAATAAAATAAAATATAAAATAAATTAAAATAAAATAAAATAAAATAAAACTTAATTAAATTAAATCAAATCAAATTAAATTAAATTAAATTAATAAATAAAATTATATTAAATAAAATAAAATAAAATAATAAAATAAAATAATAAAATAAAATTAAATTAAAACTCAATTAAATTAAATTAAACAAAACTCAATTAAATTAAATTAATAAAATTATTAAATTAAATTAAATTAAATTAAATTAGATAAAAATAAAATAAATTGAAATGAAATAAAAATCAATAAATTATAAAGCGGCACTAACACTCCACGTGATCTTGATTCTACCCCTCTGTAAATGCAGCCTAGGATTGCCTCGGCCTTTCTGGCTGCCGCCGCGCACGGCTGGCTCCTCTTGAAGCGGTTGCCCAATCGTCCACTAGGACTCCAAGATCCCTCACCCGAGGACCGCTGTTGAGCCAGGTTATCGCCTGTCCTATACCTGCACACGGACTTGTGTTTCCTTGCCTAAGTGTAAAACCTTATGGTTCTCTACCTTGAATTCAATCATGTGGGGTCAGGCGGGGTTCTTCAATGCTGTCAAAAGCCTTCTGGGTCTTGAGCCTATCTTTTGAAGGGTTGGCTACTCCGCACCCATCCAGCTTGGTGTTTGGGGACACTCGGGGACGTGACCATCGATCAAAATCGTTTCTGCTGCAAACCAGAGAGCCCCCCCACACCTCCTGCTCCGCCTCGTTTCTCTCCCCGGGCCAAGAATCCGACTTCCTCTGCTTTCAATGCCTTCAATGCCTTCCTCTCCTTCTCCTCCTCCTCCTCCTCCTCCCTCCCAAATTCCAAGCCCAAACTAGGAAATTTGCCCACCAGGCCCAACTGGGGGGGGGGGTTTGCATACCATCCGTCGCAGCTTTCCCCGCATAGTTGCAACCACAAAGTTAAATAAACACTGCAAGAGTTGTCCATTCCCCCGAAGGTGCACCAAGTAGTAGTGAAAGAATGAAATCATGGGAGTTTTGCAACACAAGGGTGCCAAAATCGGGGCTCGCTGGTTTGAACACCAAATTATTATTATTTTTTAAATTAAGGGGTTTCTCTCTCTCCGTCGTGAAAGCAGATTGGGTGGTCCTCGTTTAACGACGGCCAATCGGGGTGCAGATTCCCGTTGTCGAGCCACGCAGCTTTCCCACACGTGCGCTGCTTACGGACGGCAGTTCCACCTGGCGTCTTTAAGCGAGGACATCGGATGGCCTTCATTCACGATCGGCTGCCAGCCCTCCCGCATTAACCCTGCTTGTAGATGCTGGACAAGGAAGTCGCAAAGAGTGACCAGTTGGGACCCTGCGACGTCGTAAGTACAAGGATGGCCTGCATGTCCCACCAATTCAGTACCTTCGCGGGTTTTTTTTAAATTATTATTATTTTAGAGGTAGTCCTCGACTGATGACCACAATCGAGCCCCAAAATTTCTGTCGCTAAGTGAGGCCTTTATTAAGTGAATTATGCCCCATTTTACAACCTTCCTTCTGACAACGAAAGTCAACGCAGGAGGCCAGACTCGCTTAATGACCCTGTGATTCATATCACAACCTCCATGATTTATTTAACAACTGCTGCCAAAAGGTTGCAATATCAGGTGTGACTCACTCTTGGCTGCCGTCTTGCTTAGTGACCGAAATTCTGGTCGTAAGTCAAAGACTACCTGTACAGCTGTGAGCAGTCTCATAATTAACCTGCAGGGTGTGGCTGCAGTATTATTATTTGTCCCCTTGAAGGGAATAGTAATAATGAATAAAGAAATGTAGTAGAATATAATATAGCATTAAGTAGAAAGTTACTCTGTAGACCAGTGGTGGGTCACCTTTCGGGGCTCCTGTGCCAAAAATTGTGCGTGCATTTGCGCTTTCATGCCAGCATCCGGAAGGCATGTGCCCCCCACGCCCGCTACACATGCGTGCACAATCCCCACACACCCAGCCACACACCCCCCTGCCGCCCCCTTACCTGCACTGTGCCTCACAGCTGATTTTCGGCCCGTTTGAGACCTTTTTCGGCCTCCCCAAGACTTGAGGAAGGCTTCTGCAGGTTTCTGCAGGCTTTTCAGGCCAAAAACTAGGCCTGTTTCATCACTTCCGGTATCGTCAGAAAAAAACAGGAAGCTATGAAATGGGCCTAGTTTTCATCCTGAAAAGCTTGCAGAAGCCTGCAGAAGCCTTCCTCAAGCCTTGGGGAGGCCGAAAAAGATCTCAAACCGGCCGAAAATCAGCTGTGAGGTACGCCCATGCGCAGTGAGGTAAGTTTGCTTGCAGCTTGCGTGCCGGCACAAATGGCTCTGTATGCCACCTGTGGCATGCGTGCCATTGGTTCACCATCATGGCTGTAGATATTTGCCCTCTTGAAAAATATATGTTATCCTGCTGTAAATGTATCTCCTTATGCAGTTACTCATTGTTCAACATAGACCTGCAATCAATTGCATCCTCCTGTATCAAGAACATGGATGGTCCTATTATATAAATCCTTCATGAATCCTTCCATAAATGATCCTTCCATAAATGCCATCCTTATTTCTTCCAGGAATTGGCACATAACTATCTCTATCTCCAACGGTCAAGGCAATTATGACCTTGTTGACGACCCTCACTCCGTCAAGGACCTCGGAGTACTCGTAACTAAGGACCTAAGCACCAGAGCTCACCGCCACAGCATTGCCAAAAAGGCATTAAGAGTTGTAAATCTAATCTTACGAAGCTTCTCCTCCAGAAATATAGAATGGCTAACTAGGGCACACAAAACCTTTGCTAAACCAACACTCGAATACAGCTTGTCTATCTGGAAACTGCACTGTATATCGGACATTAATACAATCGAGCGAGTCCAGAAGTATTTCACGAGAAGAGTTACTACACCCCTCTGCTCGCAACAGAATATCCTACACCACCAGGCTTGAGATTTTGGGCTTGGACAACTTTGAACTATGCCGCCTACGGTTGGACTGAAGCGAAGTACACAAAATGATCTGCTACAATGTGCTACCAGTCAATGACTACTTCAGCTTCAACCGCAACAACACAGGAGCACACAACAGATACAAACTCAATGTAAACCGCTCCAAACTCAATTGCAGAAAGTACGACTTCAGCAACAGAGCGGTCAATGCCTGGAATGCACTACCTGACTCTGTTGTTACATCCTCTAACCCCCCCACTCCTTTAACCTCAAACTATCCACTATTGACCTCACCCCATTCCTAAGAGGCCTGTAAGGGGGCGTGCATAACTGCACCGTCGTGCTTACCGTCCCTGTCCTATTGTCCCCATTTATTTGTACCTGTTTCCTGTAGTCTTACTCATATTTATACTTACACCTATTATCTTGTAAGCGATTGACGAATAAATAAAATAAATAAAGTCACACCCACACACCTTTGACCCGTGGTGTTAACAAAAGGCCAAAATAATCAGTTAGGGAGACAATGCAGAAAAGATAATACTGCCGGAAAAGAATTTGCCTGTTGCAGGAGGATGTGTAAACCTTAGTTAGATTACACGATTAGAGATTTACAAGGTAATTAGAGAACTAAAAACATCTATAAGATGCATCTATAAGAAGGACAGGACATCTTTCTGTATTTTGCAGAATTTTCCTCCCAAGTCTTTTGTGATGTGCTAGGAATGTCTTACCCAGAACTTTAACATGGATCAAATATAAAGTCTACTTTCTTTGATTTGCAGACCTCCGTTTAAGTCTTTGTTTTGGTTCATTTTGGGCTTAAGCATTCGGCCAGGCCTTACGCCCATTGTTATTATTTTTCACTTCTCCCTTTTACTGGCTGCG